TCTCCTTTTTATTACTAATCTAGGTTCACCCTCCCAGTTATATAACTGAGGTACAGTAATTTAACTTTCAACTCAAGATTCTTGTTTATGAAACAGATACATTGGATCCTTTTTTTTGGGAAAGTGCACTCAGGAGTGAGTCATAAAAATCTAAAGTAATACGTATGTACTTATATACTTATAAAAACAAAAAGTCTTTGGTACTAATGAAAAAAGCTAAGTCAATAATTTTACTCAATAATACCACAATTTTATTCAATAATATCCTATCTGTATAGCACTTTATTCAAAAGTTTGCACATGCTATATACCTGTTCACTGATTCTAATTCTCTTGACAAAATGTATTACTAGTTGGGGAGGGGGCAGATATATCCACGTAATAGACTTAGAAACTAAGATGTAGACCAGCTAAGTGATACGCCAGGATCCCTGGATTCAATTCATCAATTCAAAATAACAAACATTTATTGAATACATATCATATGCCACACCCTTTTCTAAACACTGTCCATATGTAAGTGTATGTATCTGTAAATAAAACAGAAAAGATCACTAACCTTGTGGGGCTTATATCTTAGTTGAGCAAAGAGAGGTGGAGTACAAGCAACAAACAATCAGAGTAAGAGGATGGGAAGTGAGCAGAGCTGAGCAGGGAAGCAGGCTGCAGATTTAAGAGAGTTCAGTTTTGAGAAAAGAAATGTGAGGAAGACTTTAAGAGATGGGGGTATCATCTTGAGGGAGACCATTCCAATTCAAAAAGAAAGCTAGAACAAATTCCCTTAGGCAAAATGATCTGGTACATTCACACTGAGGAAGCTAACTTGGCTAAAACAAAATGAAAAACAATAGATGAATGATACCAACACAGAAGTCCAAATTGCATAGATTCTTTAAATAATGACTAAATAACATAAGGAGTCATTGCAAGATTCTGAGTAGAGAAATGAAAGAATCTAACATAGTCTTTAAAAATCACTCAGAAACATACAAACCATAGGGATTATTACAGAAAAAGAGGCAAGAAAGACTTAGTTCTAACAAGGTGTGATATCAGGTGGTAAGAGGTGGTCAGACTCTAAACATATTTTGAAAGCATAGCCAACTGGATTTATTGAGTGATCAGATGCAGAATATGACAAAAAAGAAAGAAAAGTCCAGAATGACACCCAAGTTTTGGCCAGAGCAAAAGAAAAGCTAGCGTTGCATCACCAAGACAGGGAAGTTGTGGGCAGAACAGATTTTAAGTGGGAGGATCAGGAGCTCAGTTTTGGCAATGTTAATTTTGAAATGCTTCATGTGGAGATTTCTAGAAGGCAGCTGGGTATACAAGTCTGGAGTGCAGAAGAAAAGTCTAGCCTGAAGCTACAAATTTGAAAAATGTTAGCATTTAAATTGAGGGTATTTAAGGTCAATAGGCTAAGTAATACCCCCAAAGAAATGAATGCAGATACTAAGAAGAGAATCAAGCAGTGGAACCTCAGCATGGCAGGCTAGGGAAAAGAAAAGGAATTGGCAAAGAAGAAAGAGTAAATGATGAGACACCACCAAGAAATTATGAAGTATCCTGGAGCTAGATGAATAAAGTGTATGAGCGAAACAGATGAAGAAGTGATCATCAACTTTATTAATGGCAGCTCAATCCTTTAGTTCTTTGAGTCAGATAAAGACTAAGAACTGATCATTGAACTAAACACAAAAATCAAGGCTGGGATGCAGTTAGTGGTAAAGTGCTTCTCTGGCATGTATGAATCCCTGGGGACAATCCTGAGTACCAAAAAAATAGTTAAGTAAATAACACAGCAATCACTAATGACTGCTGGACATGGTGGTACACGTCGGTAATCCCAGCACTCTGGGATGCTGAAGCAGGAGGACCACTGCAAATTTGAGGACAGCCAGGCTACACAGTGAGTTTAAGGCCAGCTTGAAGTACACAGCAAGACCCTGTCTCAAAAAAACAAAACAAAAAAATAAAACACACACAAAAAAAAACCTCACTAACGACTTTGATAAAAGCACTACAGCTAAAGCATTGGAGGTATAGAGCCAAGAAGAATGCACTTAAGGAAGAATAAAAGGGAAGTGGACTAAGGGGATATAGATAACTCTTTCAAATTGCCTTGCTATGAAAGGAGAGAAGAAAATTAGGCAGTAGTTTGTGGTGGTGATAGTATGGTAAAGTGTATTTATTGGGTGTTTTTGCTTTTCTAAGAAGGTAAAAATGGAAGTAAGCTTATGTTCTCATGAAAATGATCCTGCAGCAAGTAAAAATTTGATGATATAAAACCAAGAGGGCAGAATAACTAGAGTGATGTCCTGGAACAGGTAAAATGGGGTCCAGGACACCAGTAGAGGGCTTCACAAGAAGGGAACACTGATGGTCCATCCATGCTGGTAGTAGCACAGCAGGAAGAATATGTGGGTGTTGATTCCAATGGGTGGGAGTTGATGGAAGTTTTCTTATTAGTTCAGTTTTCCAGGTAGAGAAGGAATCAACTAAAAGTGAAGATCATGGATGAAATTTGGGGGTCTGAGAAGATATCAGAAAGTATTAAAATGATAATCTACAGAGCAAAGTATGCATGCACACAAAACAGTATGATTGCCTGGCACCATTAAATCTCTGTTTTAGGCCATAGTCATGAATTTAAATAGTACTAATCAGAAAGGCTATGTATCGTACTCTTTCTATACAGTCGCATAGATGTGGGCACAAAGTTGAGAGCAGGACTTAAGCAAGAAAGAGAAGGAGATACATGGGGATTATAACAATGATCAACTATGAAATGTAAAATGGGTAAGAATGATGGTAGAAAACAGTAAGAGATCAAAAGCCTGAACTACTGGTGGGTTCAAAGAATTGTTGTGGTAAAGATTCTAGAAGCAATGACCTAGAAAGACAGGAAGTCATGGTCAGAAAGTGAAATTATGGAAGGAATGCAGATTTGGTAATGATAACATCTAGGTAAGGATTTTTCAGTCTTGGTATACTGAATTGGGAGGCCGTATCAGGGATTACACCCAGGACCTTTGCCCTGAGCTATATTCCCTGCCTATTTTTTTTTTTTTTTTGACAGGGTCTCACCCAGTCATTAAACTGCCTGAGCTGGGCTCAAACTTGAGATTCTCCTGTCTCACCCTCCCAGAGTGCTGGGATTACAGGCATGTACCACCATGCCCAGCTGGCACACTGACACTTTAGATTAGAAAAGTCTTTGTTGTCTGGGACTGTCCTGTGCATCACAGTATGTGTTTAGCAGCATCCATGGCCTCCACCTTCCAGATGCCAAATACCGGCCCCTGAGGTTGTGACAATCAAAAATGTCTCCAGACTTTGAAAAATCACCCTAAATTCAGAAGCCAAGTAGTTGAGATCTCCAGGAAAAAAGATCAAAAGAGTCAAGGACACAGGAAAAAGTTACTTTTGATTATATCAGAATCACCAAGGGTTAAAACAAGAGTAGCATGTGAAAAAGTAGGAACTACAAAGATCAAAAATAAATCAAAGGTCAGTAGATGATAACAATTAAGAGACGTGAATGACACAGTCATAACAAGATTTAAAGTTGATGATTTATCAACTTCAAAATACACAGTGGTAAAGCTGGTGCTAGAACTTAGGCTTCCTTCCTAAGGCTTTTTTAAATGTCTAGAAGGTGGGCAGACAACACCTCCACATGATTTCATGTTCAATTAAATTAGGCTTGCAGAGTCAAAAATAGGGGTCAATCACAAACAATTGGCACTATTTCTGACTGCCATATATAACAAACAGCTGAAAGCACATATTTTTGGCTGAATACCATCCTAAAAATAGGACATAACATCTTGGTTTTTAAAATACTCTCAGTTTTCATTCTGGCCCTTAAAAACATTTTAGTGCCTTTGATTAGAAAAGAAATACCTTTTATTAAATGAATGCATTTATCTGTTAGCTACAGAGCTATCACAACCAACATTTTCCTTAGATAACCAGTCACCTTTATGCTTACAGTACAACCATCAAGGAGACCTTAATATTAAATGGACTGATTCGGAATGTTTTCCAACTGTGCATCACCTGCTCCTCTCACTGCCACCTGGAAAGACATCATTTCACCAGACGGCAAACAGATTTAGAGCAAATGCCCAATTTTCATCTCCACCTCCTTAAAACAGATTTACAAGGGAATCAAAATTAATAGATGTGTCCCCTTTATAGGAGGAGCAGCTGCAAGATAGGAAATTCAAACTGTAGTGTTATTTATTAAGTTCTCCCATATGTACTCTAATTTCAATAATTAAGTCTTTAGGCCACATGGAAGGTTAGCTCAGTGAGCTTTGACAAACCCATCTGCACAATCTTATCTTGTTATGATTAGAATGAATTTAAATTTTTAATGCATAAACATGAAGCACAAAGATGGTGTGAAGGAAACACATGATGTTATCACTTGAGTCCTGCTCGATTTTACAGATTACCTAATCCAATATTTAAAGCTCACATAAAACAAGGATGAAATCCTCTCATTTCAACTCCCAAAGCATTTGTAAGCACTTGCCAGAGCTCACCAACGGCAAAATTATTTACACTTTTACATATTGCTATTACAATGATTAAGGTATTTTCATGTATCATTTCCAAACTTGATGCTCTGCTACCAGAAAAAGGAAAAGAAAAAACCTTCTGAATAAGAACCAGGATTTAAATCTCAGCTTCATGACATACTGGCTGTTAAGTCACCACCTGGTGTCATTTATGGTATTAGTTGCTCAGAAGAAAAATTCTATGCATAGTTCTGATAGCAATTGCTCAATAAATGAACAACAGTCCTCTTATTTTGTTGTTAATTAAAACAAGTTTCAGAGAATGGAACTAAAATAATCTTACAGTTAAACCTCTCTGCTTGAAAGATCAACACAATATTCTGATTTTGTTATGCTACATCATGAAGTTGGGCTGGTAGCAGTTTTAGTCTTTATTTATAACACAAATGAACACAAAGAGCAGATGCCTACCTTCCAAACTTTCTTGTTCATCAGAAGTATAAGCATCCATCTGACTTTGTTCCCGTAAGAAACGAATAACTGCATAAACTAAGTGCTTGATCGATGACATTTTAGAAGCTTAAACACTTCCTTAACAATAAAAATGAAAACACACCTCAGTTATTTTAAAGAATCAGCCAGAAAAGTTATCAATTATAAAGGTAATAAATAGCAAGGACTACATTATTACATGTAAAAAAACTTGCATTACCTTAATCTTTTTAAAGTCAGGAGAGCACAGAGTATTGTTATGGTGTTTTGTCACATTTTAAAAATTTAAACCCAGTAGTACTGAACTATGTTTAATCTTGGATTAATAAAATTTTTTTCCAAAACATCGAAACATAAAGCTTAGAATCTCACTACATCTTAACTATATATATGGTACGGATACAGAGAAGAAGTATGGCTATAGATATAGAGATCCCCCAAAAGGCCTGGTCTTAAATTGCGGGAGACTTCATACTGCTGACTCAGACACTGGTACACAATAAGCATCTTCACCTAGTACATGGGATTTTTAAAACTGTAATACACGTAATTTACACTCCGCCTACTTTCATTAGCTGAGAGTTATCCGCTGAGGAAACACACTCGAGAAAGGCTGTTCAACCATTGAGCGTCACTCTCAAAAAATGGCATTTCTGGGTAATCAACAGACACATCAGGCAATCACTGCCTAAACCGATGATACTACAAACGGACCAGCGCTCTCCGCAGCAGTGGCCGCTCTCTCGCGGAGGCTGGACGCTCATTCACCCGGACGCGAGCGCCTGCGAACCGCGGCGCAGGGCCAGCGGCATTAATGGCTCATCTCCACTAAATCGCAGGGTCCATCTGCTCCCCCGGTTCGCTAATTCAAAGCCAGGGTGTGGTGCCCGCCGCTAAGACGCTTATTATGTGTTCCGATTTTTACCGCGAGCCCAACCACCAGGCCACCGGGTTATTACAAACGCTAAATCAGGCCCCCGGGCAGAGGGTGAAAACACAGAGGGGGACAGGGCGGGGAGGGGAAAAGAGCGACCCATCTCCCCCACACTTCCCCTCCCGCCTCTCGGCGCTGCACACCTGCCCCCGCGCCCAGCCGCCCTCCCCGCGGCCCCGGGCCTCGCCTCGGCCCCACGGGATGCGCGGCGCGGGCCTCCGTCTGGGGCTGGGGGAGACGCACCATTTCCAGACAGAAGGAGCACCTTACCAGAAAAGAGGCCGCGAGACGACGGCCGCGAGCTCGGGGACGTCCGTGAGCCGGTCCGCCCGCCCCTCGACCTCAGCCTGGAGCCTGGCTCGGGATCTCAGCACTCGCCCGCGGTCGCCAAACTTCCCCGGCTCCCACTCCGCCGCCCCCTCAGCCCACCCGGCTGCGC